CAACGAAATTTGTCACAGGTTTTATATCGTCAGGAAACGGTGTACCTCATTCGATATAGCGACTAGGCTATGGGTGGCGGACCATGTGATCGTGCTTCAATTCCCGGCAGAGGAAATATATTTTGTTGCTCTCCACAGCGTTCATGTCGGATCTTGGGTTCGGCCAGCGCCCTGCCCTGCATGTACCGGCGCCCCTTTCCTCAACTGCTCTTACCGCCCTGAAGAAACAGAGCACAGAGCAAGTTGGCTCAAGGGGCAATGCTTCAGACTTCTTTTCGAAAAATACCCAGTTCGAATCTCAGCTGATACGCTTACTATCCTGACTGTGATATCCCAAATTTTTTCCTCAGCCCCTTCGGGCAAATGCCGGGACAGCATCTGTAATCCAGCTCGATTCTGCCCACGCCCCTTCAGGTTAATTATCCCGTGTCACCCTTCCACATGACGGTATATGGTCTGAAGAACTGACAGCGCTGTTAAATAAAGCAAAGATACACAAAGCAACAAAACAAAACACTGTTTCACCATTACAAAGACCAAACGGTTAATGGAGTGTAGATATATTGCTGTTCATTCCCAGAATCATATTGTTGCTGGGCAACGGCCGCGAGAAGCAAATATATATAACGGCCATTACTAGATAACGGACCGGATACCGCGAAAGAGGAACGGTGTCTTCTGTGCGGTCCGTGCTGAGATGCTATAAGCAGGACAGTTAGTGGTTAGCCAGTCAGTCAGTAGAGTGGAGTGAGATGGTGAGTTAGAGGACTGCTGCAGTTCAGTAGTTGTCAGGTGTTGCTGTGAGATGTGGGTACCTGAGGCACACGGATAATTCGGGAACACGGAGGAAGGGAAAATTCCGCCATTCAAAGCCGCGACCGAGCAACGTCTAGTGACTGGACAATAACGTGTGTGTAAGAGTAAATTGTAGAGTGCAGTCACGCGCTGTACAGGGAGTCCAATAAATCCAATCACCAATACAAACGCCGCCTACAGTCAAACTGACACACATGACAATATGAAACACTTAAACAGGCTCTGCAGGCAACAAGCATAGACTTATGCTATATTGTGTATGTGTGTGTGTGTGTAAATGCAGAATTTCATTTTTCTCTAAACATCAGATAGGGGGACATCTGGTTCAATGAATATGTTTGTGTATCAGGGCATCATAAATTTTTAAAACCCCTGGGGTAGCCTTTTAAAGCGTAGCGGTTGCTATATGTAACGCCTCTTTTTACCTGGATATTCCTGTAGGCGCGTATAGCTGTTTAAGCCCTTTAAAATCCACTCCCATAGTCTTCCAGGTCCTTACAATAATGTACGGTGGCAGCAGGAACCTAAATAGCTTTACAGCCTCTCTACACCCACAGTAAGCTATAAAATGTTCCTGTACAGTCACGAAAAGTGCAGTTCTGCACACTGCTGCACGTCCCTATCAGGCTGTACGGTGGCAGCAGGAACCTAAATAGCTTTACAGACTCTCTGCACCTACAGTAAGCTATAAAATGTTCCTGTACAGTCACGAAAAATGCAGTTCTGCACACTGTTGGAGGGCCCTATCAGACTGTACAGTGGCAGCAGGAACCTAAATAGCTTTACAGTCTCTCTACACCTACAGTAAGCTATAAAATGTTCCTGTACAGTCACGAAAAGTGCAGTTCTGCACACTGCTGCACGTCCCTGTCAGGCTGTACGGTGGCAGCAGGAACCTAAATAGCTTTACAGCCTCTCTACACCTACAGTAAGCTATAAAATGTTCCTGTACAGTCATGAAATTTTGCTACATTTTCCAAAATCATGAATATGACTCACTGATTTGTTTAGAAGTCCATACGTATGCAGTGTAGTTCAAAAAACCGTAGGTTAACAGATGCAACCTACGAATTCTTTTCTATAACAAATAAATGAGGCGAAAAAAATTACTTAGGACACCTTCACTTGCTATTAATAACATCCCTCTATTCGTGCCCTCAAACTTGGCAACACCTACGTCCATAGAGGCAGTAAATGCTCCTAACGGTAAAAGGTGGATGATGACGGCTGAGAAACTGACAGACTTATACATTCGGTATGTGGCTTAACATTTCTGGTTTGCAGCAGCTGTTCCGAACTACTGGAGGGCCAGTGACAGTGACCTACTTGCAGTACTTATAGAGGCCACCGCCAGATCTGCCGAGCAAGGTAGAACCTAACGGCGACATTACTCAGGCTTCTCACTACAGGGCCGCGGGTTCAATTTTGGGTTACTTCACGTGTTATTCGTGAGGAAGGAAGTGGCGATGGGACAGGTCTTCGTCTGAGTTTCCTCGGGTTTCTCCCTGCATAAAGCAAGCAGCAAGAAATGTCATTGTTTACTGCCTGTTTCATTCTGGTTTCTTCCTAAGCTTACTTTTCAACCCTGATGATAGAGGCGACATATTCCTTCGAAACTTCGATTGACTTTCCTCGGACTACATGGCGTTACACCGCCGCAGTGAGAACCTCATATACTACAGCATCGTTTACTGTATACAAATATAAAATGATCATAAACTAAGAAAGATGGAATTTTATTATAAATATAAATTATATGCAAATGATTATTAGTTTTATATAATAATTCGTCTCTTCAAAGCCTCGTGGAAGGCCGTGCCATAGCTTAGGCGGTTAGTAGCCGGGTTTCCACTGCGGTGGCCCGGGTTAGAACCCAGGTCACGTCATGTGGGATTTGTGGTGGACAAAGTGGCGCTGAGGCAGGATTTCTCCGAGTACTTCGATTTCCCCTACCAATCTTCTTTCCACCACATTCTCCATTATCATAATCACCCGGGACAGGCTACAGTAGGGCAATCAATGGCCGCCGTGCCGAGTGGACCCAGTTGGACTCAACCCCCCCCCCACTATGCGAATTTAAAAAAATAATTACTCAGGTACTCTCCTGATATCGTGGAAGGGCTAGTTCGAACCGAGCACCTCCAAAAGACGGCCTGCAACTGCTACAGCTACAGCTACAGCGACATGATGTGTCCTTCGTAATGAGTTTTCACTTAAGCCAGTTTTACCCGGTACTATAAATATGCCTAATTTATGAAGGTCTGGCGATTCTGCTTGGCGTAATAAAATGCAAGGAGTGTGGGAGAAATATGGAAATCAATTCAGTGGTTAGGTATGCAGCATACATAACAGAAATCGGCGTCCTTCACCCAAATAGTCGACTACTAAAACAAGGGGTTAACAACGGATGGTAAACATAGAGACCGTTACTATAACTGCAAGATGAGAAGTGTGTTCAGGCCGCTTTGTGGTCATACCGCCTCTGTGGTTTAATGGTCAGAGTTCCTGGCTACAGACCCAGAGGTCCCGGGTTCGATTCCCAGCGCTACCAGATTTTCTGAGAAGTAATGGGTCTGGAACGTGGTCTACTCAGCCTGGTGATGATAACTGAGGAGCTATTTCAATGAAATAGCAGCTCCGGTCTAGAAAACCGAAATTAACGGCCGTGGAGATTCCTTGGACTGACCACGCGACACCCTCTATCCGCTAAAGTTGGCACTAACTTCGCCGACAAGAGGCGGTCGCTCGGTCGGTATAGTTCACTTGCGGATTAAAACCACGGGGTTTGTTTGTTTTTGTTTGTCTTCAGGGTTGATAAATTCCTCCGAAACGTCGGTTATATTAGGTTTTCACAGCATTGACTATGAAGAGTACAATATTTTGGGGCAATGACGCCTCTTACATTTATTTACTCCTTATTGCTGGTGTCTTGCTTGGTTTATTCTTCGACCCTGAAGATGAAGGGAAAATATTGCTCTGAAACTTCGGTGGACTTCTGCGGAACATCTCAGAAAACAGGGGTGATAACCTCAGATCTAGCATTGTCTCACTGGTGGTCACCTCACATGTTCCTTAAACTGACCATTCAGCTCTTATCTAAACCATTCTGAAATTAACAGCCGCTAGAATACCAACATATACTAACATCCAATCACAAAATGACTACAAAAGTTTTACTTTTTAAATAAAAATTAAAAAATTAAATCCATCCCCGTAAGAGGCCGTGGAGGCACACAGGGTTCTGAGGCATCGAGGCTCCCACATTTTGTAGACAATCGGCTCACAGATGGCGGTGAGTTCGTCAACCTTATGCACCCCACAGGAATATTCCTGGTACTCATTTCTGTTACAGGCAGAGTCGAACACAGCGTCATAGTGCGGCTGGAAGGGTTAGGTCAATTGAAAAAATCCAATGATCTCATCGGGAATCCAACCCGCGATCTTCCGTCTTGCAGCACTGTGAATACAGCTGGGCAGATATTTGCAATGAATAGCATTACCCACGTTAGTTAAGTTTTAGCGATTTGCATCACAGATGCAAACAAAACATAAACAGAGTCATAGGCTACATGGATAGCCAAGTTAAAATATTTATGTTAGGTACAAAAATAAATGAAATTCAAATTCAACAACACGCAAAAGTTATCGTAAAGTTGTTCCTAAAAGTTGAGAATACAACCCTCTGGGATTTGACTCCGTATAGTCTGGTAGAAGTTCTGGAGGTTTTAGAAGGAACGTACTGCCTCCATCTTCAGGGTCGAAGATATGCTACGTAAGCAGTGAGCAAGCAGCAGGCAGATGAGATCGGTATGTTCCCTTGGAAACGTCGTTGCACTTAACAGAACTACACAACACCACATCCCAGAAATTGGTTCATTCACGGTCACCGCTGTGGTAACCTTTCCTAGATTTATTTGTATTTTTATATTTCATTTAGTGAACTATACACCAGACGAAGAAAATAATAAATATGTATATTAAAATAATAAAACGTCAAATTTATTACTTCCTTATAAATGCATCAGAGGCTTCGTTACTGTGTTTATGCTGATAAATTGTACAAAAACTTAACCATTACCAAAATAAGGCATACGTTTCATTTTAAGGGCTATGTTCTTATAAGTAGATTCTAAACCCAGTAATTCTGTGTGTAAATTCTTGTACTTCATAATGAATATACTCACTTTTATTTTGTCGTAAGTGGTTGATAATTCTAAATGGTGCACGAAGGGGTTTATCAGATCTGGTGGAACTGGTAATTCCTCTGCTGTGTGCACTTTTCCATTCATGTTGCAACGAGTTATAAAAACAGGATTTTTACAGAAAATGTTAATTTAACATAATTTCTTTTGCGAGTCACAGAGTAGTCACACACCCGTAACCCACTTCCTACTCCACGCGCTGTACCGACACAAATGCATTCTTAATTTTCCGCTATGACAGAAGTAGACGAAGTAGACACTGTATTGATTCTCAGACTGTTCTATAGATGTCGCTAGTGCATACAACGTGAAACCTGTAATGAACCAGATGGTGCAGGGCGTGCAGGGTATTGCAGGTTCTTCAACATGACAAATTCAATTGCACAGCCTCTGAAAATTTTCTTTTGGAACAAGAACGCCTTTGGTAAATGAAATTGCCCAATAAGTACTTGTATTTGTAAATATATATTAAAGAAAATTATTGATAGATGTTATTGTTTAGGAACGTTGTTATATTAAATGTTTTTATGTAAGCATGGTATTGCTTGTGGCGATGAATATGCCCTCTGATGAAGAGATTAGGAAACACAATATAGCCGTTGTCGAAATACGGAGGAGTGTAAATGAGAAGATAGAGAGCATGCGGAAGTTCTGTGCGTTGTAGCGTGTGTGGTATTTTGTGCAGGACATTATTAGGAAGATTCGTGTATATTGTATAATACATAGTTGAGCATGGAAGATGTAATGAAATCGTTACAGACATTTTTTTCATATCTTGATAAACATAACCTCAAATGGCATGACAATGTTCAGAAGGCTGCTAAACCCCTCAGTGGCCTTTGCAACCAATCAGAACAACTCAGATTGGTGAAGATGTAAGTTTTGTGTCAGTTACAGAATCTGAATTTTTTTTTATTTACCGTAATTAGTATGCCTATAATTGTACTTTTCAGGTATGAAGATGCTGAAGATAGTGAACTTCCAAATATTAAAAGCAGACTTATTTCAAAGATTAAATTGGGTCTGGAAGAGGAATTATCTATACTGAAGAATATATTGTGAGTATACATATGAGACATGCAGTGTAATTATTGTCATTGCTGCACATTTCAACATAGTCTCCACAGAAATGGAAATACTTTTCATATTGGGGGACAGATTTCGTATACCCTGTTTCGTTAGTTCCTATAGACAGGCAAGGTTGTACCTCAGCTGTAATAACCTTGAAAATGTGAGCTGCGGTATTTACTGGAACTGAATGGTTCCAGACTCTGCAATTGGCAAGGCAAAACAAACTCATTTGTCTGCTCATCTGTGCTGGATGAAAAATGAAGACTGGATGCAGAGATATTTTGATGTTTTATTAATATTGAGTCCTACTCTCTCTTTTTTATTTTTATTCAGCTGTCAGACACTAAATACTATCTTGTATGCACATCATATATGATAAAAGAAAGTATACTGCATGTCGGGACACATGGTAACATGGTTGAGGCACTATGCTAAGCCAGAAGGTTGTGGTTTCGATTGCCGATGAGGACATTCAAATTTTCAATTGACGTAATCTTTCCAGCCACACTATGGCTCCGCTGTCAAATCAGCCTCTAACAGAAATGAGTACCAGGAAGATTCCTGGAGGGTAAAGGGCAGTCAAATGGTGCATAGGGCTGACAACCTCACCGCCATCTGTGAGCTGATTGTGTAGAAAATGTGGGAGCCTCAACATCTCACATCCCTATGGGCCTTCACAGGCTTTTACAGGGGTAGCTTTACCTTTTATACCGAATGTCACTTATGTTGTGATGGTAAGTAAGTAGGGAGAAACTGCAGTGATGTAGGTAGGTGCAGTTTATCTTTTGGAGAAATATCTGACCAGCAGAATTTTTTGTCCGATTGATGAACTGATTCCTGATGATTAGTATCTGATTCCTCATGGTGCTTAGGCACAGGGGAGGCTTTATCTTTCACCTTTCAGAATCCTGAAGTAAGGTGTGCATTTTATTTACTCACATGTGATCCTGTTGTATCATTGGACACTAATCCATTCAATTCATATAAAACCTGACATTTCAGAAAAGAATGTCAGGCATGCAACAGGGAGCTGAAGCAGAAGTTGGTGGCCGTGGAACGGAAGTGTGAGACTGTAGAGACTCTGGCATTGTTGCGAGGCACTGCAACTCACCCAGCCCCTTGCCTAATGCTGGAGTGGGCGCAGGATGCTTGGAGAATCTACCACACATTGTATCCTTTTTTTTTTTAACTTACTTGCTGCCAAAATGGCAGATTGTTTTGGGGAGGATTTCTCTTTTGTCAGCTCCATGACATTAACAATAGTTACCCTTCGTTCACCTCATCTGGTACTCTTGCTTATTTGCTTTCCATAACTTCTGTACCCTTCCCTGTATCCTCACAGTGTCTGACGTATGGTTTATATATATGACCCTCTGTACCACCTGAAAACTGCTATAATCTACAATAATTCTGAGCCATGGAGCTCATTCAAATAAGTGACTGGATAGAAGCTGGACGAGTGGAGTTTGATTCTGTGCAGGCCTGGACGTTTTATCCGCCACATTCAGACCAACTCTGAAGGGGCCAACAATTTCCTGACCTTCGAGTGACTTTTCTTGGGTGTAAAGTGGCTGGAGCATGAAGCTAACTTCTCCACGTAAAGCTGGATTTTATATCAAGCAGTTGGACCAATGCTGGACACAGTTTGTGACCCTGAACTTATTAGGGCATTTCAGAGAGCCTTGACTGTAACGCTAGAGCGAAGACCCTCCTGACTAAGGCCTGCACGATATCTATCGACTCTGAACGTCCAGGTCCAAAATTCATTATTTAGTATCGAGCCACGGTTTGGCATTAACAGAGTATTTGATAAGAGGATTCCTGTTCCATATTCTCTGCACGTGAAACTTTCTGGGAGGCACATCTCAGTGTACAGTGGGCAGTTGGCAACATTGCACTAGCCCACATTTTTTCCTATCCAAGGCCATTTGATATTGTCCATGAGTGGACTCCCAGTTGTGTTTGTGTTTATTGGCCCACTTGGCAGCTTGTTTCTGACAGGCCATAGACTGGTTCAGGTTCTATAAATGGATCATCAGATCCAGTTTTTGCCAGCTGGTCAGTGATCTGACACCGACATGACCAGTGCTTGCCTTATGTTCACCCAGTTTCATTACGGATTGATGGCAGTCCCAAACCAGTTTTAATTTTGTCTAATAATTATGGAATGCAGTTGAGACACTGTGCTACAAGCCAGAAGGTTGAGGTTTCGCTTCCCAATGAGGTCACTGGATTCTTCAGTTGACCTAATCCCTCCAGCTGCACTATGGCCCTGGGGTGGACTCAGCCTCTAACAGATATGAGTATCAGGAATCTTTGTGGGGGGGTAAAAGGCAGCCGGCATGTAAGGCTGACGACCTCACCGCCATCTGTGAGCCAACTGTCTAGAAAAGTGGGAACCTCAACGTCTCACAAGCGTATGGGCCTGCACGGCCTGTTACAGGAATAGCTTTACCTTTTACCTTTGTTCACAGACTGGCTGTCTGACAAAATAAAGATGTTTCTAGTCTCATGATCTTTCAGTTATTTCACAATTCTGCATGAACTGCTTAGGTTGTTAGTTTTGAGGTTTGATAGCACTCAAACTTCCATGAGTGTTCAGGCTGTGGTCTTCTGGACATGACACCCCATAGTCTCCTGCCGAGGTCATCAAGTGTTAAACCAAGTATGGGAGAAAGCAATTGTGGCCTGCTTAGAGGAAATATTGAGGCAGTACAACTAATGAAATTTACTTCTGCGTAAATATCATATAAACCCTTATATAAGGTGACCACAAGGGCCACGCCATAGCTCAAGTGGTTAGTCGCTGGCTTCCCACCACGGCAGTCCGGATTCAATCGCAGGTCTGGTTAAGTGGGATTTGTGGTGGACAAAGTGGCGCTGTGGAAGGTTTTCTCTGAGTACTTCAGTTTCCCCTGCCAATCCTCGTTCCACCAATTTCTCAACAATCACCCTCATCTATCATCTGGGGCTGGCACAAGAGGCCAGAAGTGGCCGCAGTACAAGGGACTTAGTCCCACCCCACTAGTAATAAAAAAAATAAGGTGACCAAAAAGTTTTACTATGAGGAAACAAGGTTTTATTTTCACAAAATAATACACTAATCACAAGAATTTATACCTGATGAGTACAAAATTATGTATATGTTTTATTGAAATTGTTGGACAAAGCTTGTAAATCTAGCAGTAACGCTCTTGATGTGTATTCATGAGGTGCTTGGTTTGAATCTCAGCCATGACATCAGTGACCCTGTGTGAGGCTCCTTGTGGTTTTCTCATTTTCTCCATACAGGTTACGACAGTATGTCAGTTGAGCCATAACTGCTTTCTTTGAAATCGTTTTCAATTCATTATTTATTTGTCACTCTGTCATTCGCATCTACATAACACAGCTGCGACAGCATCATAAAATAACCCATAAGAAAATGCTGGTCATTACTTGTCATAATGTTCCTTGACTCCAGGGGAGCTATTTTCAGATCAGTGGTGCTTTAAGGTGTCTGAACTACGAAGACGAGGATTCTGTTCTAAGGTTTCAGAAAGCCTTCGAAGAAGATGCTGGAATGAAGTGCCATATTCAGAGTAAGTGTATGAATGATGAATTGAAAGGCTGGTCGAGGTCTTACAACACTCAACAAGGATTCAATGGTTGAACTTGAGATTTGCAAATCGAGACCTTGTGACAGTCACCGGGGTTCAGCAGCTGAACTCCAAAGTATTGGGACTCCCAGTAGTTCTTCTGTATGTTCAGAGTTATTTGTGAAATGGATGAGGCAGCCCAGCAATTTTTACCTAAGTCTTCGAGATCTCTCTTACCTCACTGACTTTTCGTTGTTTTCTTCAGCACCACAGTACTACATCAATTAGCCAATGGCCACTTTCTTCCAGATCTTTTCCAGTTCATCAGTCCCCCACCACTAGCACTGCAGTCTACTTACTGACAGTGTCTGCACAGTAACCCTCAAGAAGAATTTTGTCGTCTGTACAAAATGGTGAGTTCATTTACATAAAAGCCTCATCAAATATTTATATTCATTATTTATTTGCAGGAATGTCAGCATATACAAAGTTCCTTGTAGAAGGATCCTGACTTCCATCTGGAACGGCCTCAAGTGAAAATTTCAGAGGATGAAAACGATGTGCCTGCTTATACAATACTTTGTATGTTGATGTGTAATTCATTGGATTTTGTGATGTCCAAGTTTACAAAGAATGAGGTAAATTGAGTTCATAACTAATATTTATCATAAAGGCCACACCATAGCTCAAGCGGTTAGTCGCTGGCTTCCCAAAGCAGCAACCTGGGTTAGAGCCTGGGTCTGATCAAGTGGGATTTGTGGTGGACAAAGTGGCGCTGGGGTGGGTTTTCTCCGAGTACTTCGGTTTCCCCTGCCAATCTTCATTCCACCAAATTCTCCATCATCATAATCACCTGGGGCAGGCTACAATAGGCCAATCAGTGGCCGCCGTGCCGAGTGGACCCAACTGGACTCCAACCCCCCACTAAGTGAATTAAAAAAAAATTGTAAGTTTTGAGGTTTTCACGGCGATGACAATGAAGAAAGTCATCTTCTGGGTTTAGGCACCGTGTATTCTTCGTTTCAGCTGACGTTTCGGAGGAACGTAGCGCCTCCATCTTCAGAGCAGTTGAATGGCTTGGAATGCGGAGAGCAGTAGCTGTAGTGATAGGATGTGAAAGTCGCAGCGACGGTGCCTAAACCCAGAAGACGACTTTCTTAAAAAAAAAAATTATTTGAAAAAAAGATTTTTCATAGTTTTTCATCGGTGAATGTATGGATTATACTTTAATGTAATTTGTGTTCCTGTACACAATTTTCATATTTACAGGTTGTACTGGAGATGATGCTGTAGACTTGTACCCAGTAGAGGCACAGTTTGAGTGTTGGCCGGGACATCGGCTATCCTGACTAAGTTCTTTGTTGATTTCCTCAGTCCCTCCAGGCAAATGCCGGCATTCTATCTCGATTGGGCCATGACCACATCCTTCCAAATCCTTTCCAGTTCATCATTCCACCGTTCTATGCTATATAGCTCAGATATTGTAGGTACAGTGATACAAGGTGCCAGAAATTGCTCATTTTCCAGTACACAAAAAATCATCAAAACATCATCACTGTGTATTACCGCCATTAAAGCCGGGTCCCTTTCTTTACCCCTTCTCCTTGAGTCTCATGACCACTCAGCTTTTAAATTACCCACATAACCAAACCTCTTCCTGAAGCTGGAGGCAGTTTGATCTTTCAATATGACGGTGTCTGCCAGCGGAAATACATGATCTCAACTTGGAAGATGCCAGTAATATTGTATTTTAGCTTTATATTGTGTGTGGAATATTTTATTCAGTTTCTGTCTCACAATGTATGTATAAATGTAAGCTAATTATATGCTTTGTACAGTACGATTTTGATTGTTATTAATAGTGATATTGTATTTTAGTGTCATATTATGTATAGAATATTTTTTTAGTTTCATTCTCACAGTATATGCATAATTCTAAGATAATTATATGCTTTTTACACTACTCTACACTAGTATAGAAACTGTATAGTTATCTTAGAAGATATTTTGATTGAAATGTCACTTATGAATGATTCAGGTGTAATTCTTCTGTCCATGTAATTAAAAATACTGTATGAGGACATACAAGTTTTCAGTTTTTTTTTCGTTTGAAATGAAGACATAACATAGGAATTTGTTCAGTAAGTTTTATTTATGATATTTAGCTTGCAACCTAAAACAGAGGTTTGCAAATTTAATTTGCACCTTATGCCAAAAAATACAATAGGCTGGATGGGGCCCGATGGCTGCTCTGCAATCTGTCTTTCTTTCGTACCAGAAATCTAACCGCCGTCATAAGTCGGTGTGACTAGTCATACTGACCACTCTGTATCTGCTTTAAACTGATGATTCAAATGCTAAAAGTACAAGAATATAATGAGTAGTTGGGTTTAGGCACTATGCTACAAGCTGGAAGGTCTCGGGTTCGGTTCCCGATGTAGTCATTGGATTTTTCAATTTACCTAAACTTTACAGTCACACTATGGCCCTGGTGTTGAGTCAGTCTCTAACAGAAATGAGTACCAGGAATCTTCCTGGGGGTAAAGGGCGGCCAGCGTGTAAGGCTGGCAGCCTTACCACCATCTGTGAACTGATTGTCTAGAAAATGTGGGAACCTCGACGTCTCACAACCCTATGGGCCTCCACGGCCTGTTACAGGGATAGCTTTAACGTTTTTTCTTTACTTTTAACGAGTACTAAAATATGGAACGTTATGTATCAGGCATTGATAATGATATATTTTGAAAATTTAATAAGTATGCATTAATGGAAGACGTTGCATCGCTTGTTGTTAAGGGCGAATTTCCCGTATTTGATGCAGCAGTTGAACATTCTGTATAATAATTTGATGGAGATTTCGCGCATTTCGTAAAGTAAACAGTTCTGGACACACACCATACAGGTAGAGCTGAGTTTCTCAAATTCAAGAAGTAACCAATAATGGTACGAGTATATACCGTGTCATACTGATGTAGTGCCAGTCGAATTTCTCTAGTGTAGTAAGTAAACAAAGCCTATCACAGGGGCCGTGCTGCCTAAGGCATGAAATGATTTCGCTCGAATCCTACTCGAGGCATGGATGTCGATCTGCATTTATTCAGTATTTGTGTCATCTTATGTAGGCAGTGACCGTGTGACGGCCTGATCATCCGTCCAAGGAGTCCTACCGACTGTGTGTAAGATTTGAATTTCAGAATTATTTAATTCTGAATGGGCATATGCCAGAAGCACAGAGAATTATTGGGTTTTTGGACCTTTTCCATCGTCCGGTATTCTAGAGAATAGAAAACACGACGTTACGGATTTTGGATCTGTTTCCGTCTACAGGTGAAAGAGGTAAAGGAGGAAAGACCTACTCAGTTGGACCTTTTAGAAAGAGGTAATCACAGTTACTGGATTAGCTCTTTCTAAGGGGCCGAACTGAGTAGGTGTCATCTCCCCACCCTCACCTGAGGACCGAAACGTCGTGTTTTGTATTCTCTAGAATACCGGATGGTGGGGGGGACCAATAATTCTGTGTGCTATACATCGACAGAATCCTTTACAATTTATATGCCAGAAAGCGTAATCCGTCATGATAAAATAATATTTATTAATTATGAACACCCTGTATAGCATTGATAGGGATCAGTTTCACACATTTAGTAAGTAATCAATTATGAACGAACTGTGTTGAATTTCATGCAGTTTATAAGTGACCAATTACATTCTGTGTAAGACTGATGTAGGTGAACTCCCCAAATTTAATGTAGGGCCTGTAGCGAGTTACGTAACGGTCTATATAACGTATTGATACGTAGTGTGTTGCGGGTGGCGAACTACCGCGCAGACGGTTCGCTGGTGATGTGCGCGGTGCAATCCCACGGTATTGATTCTCAGATGACGACTCCGGCGGCGGTAATGTCAGTGGCAGTAGCGACGCCCGGCGTCCACTGTGAGAACTTGGCGCTTAGAGCGCGGGTGTTGCTCTTAAGCTGCCGTCGCCGAACAGCCTTTTTGTGCATTGTGTCCGCAGGTTTCGGACTGGTGGTACCGTCCGGACATCTCCGCTCACCAACACAGGTGAGTTCACTTCTGTGACCTCTAAGCGAATTAGGAGACGCAGAAAGGTAACGCGTCAGCGGAATTACCATTTTTGGTACCCTTACATTATTTAGTCTTATTCAGTAACGAACTTGATGCATCTATTTCCTGTTCTAAATAGTCATCGTACATACTGTGAAATATCCATTTTAATTGCAATGAGATGTGTGTAAGTTTTGAGATCTTCTCTGCTCTGATTCTTGTCTTCTGGGTCATGTGCACCTTAGAAGAACCATTTTACGATCCGTCTTATTTGTCCTTACTACCCGCCAGTTGGGTCTTATGACCAGTTTCCTTGCAATCTGTCTACATAACGACCAATTTTCTTAACCAACACGATTCCTGAAGATGGAGGCAGCATGTTCTTCCGAAACCTCGATATCTACTATGTAATGTCACAACCCAGAAGGTCGGAATCATTAATTTTGATTTATGAAGTGTATGTTGCCCGAAATAATTAAGAGACAGTTTAGATTAGAGGATTTACCTTTAATGGCACTACCCACATTTATGCAGAAACTTTATGGGTATTGATGTTTAGTGAGATTTCTGAGATTCAATGACAACTATAGTATGGTCATGTAGCTACATAAATAATGAAAAGTTTGTCTTATGCGAGACTTCTGGTTCTCACAGCGGTGACTATCAAAATAGCTGTATTCTGGAACCTAACGCTGCGTAAAATAGTAGGTGTTGTGTGTAAACATCTACCAGGCTTCAAGGCATCACGTCTCAGAAGACATTTCTTTAGGGGTGAATATGTAGACGGGGTATGGATTGACTGTTGGATTTATTGGCCAATTTTCACACACCACTTGGAATTACAAGTAATTACAGCGCTACCGCTGATTTCTCAATTCACAAATTACCGCTGCAAACAGTCGTCTCCAGCCTTCAGCGTCTTCAACAACCGTTTCCTAGCAACGGCTTCTAACAGTGGAGATTCTTCAGCTCTCCGCTTTCAGGTTCTTCCTGTCCGTCGAATATCCCGCAACCGAACTCTCAGTTATCAATTATAGCGATATCTCTTTTCAGACTTCCTTGCAGAGGAACTGCCAAACCTCAACTAACTGGCTTGCCCCAGGTGTCTTCTTTATACTTCTCGGCGCGGACCGTATTAAAAACACCGTTCTATTGTTGCATGCGGGTTCGTCTTCCGCGGGAACGTGTTTACCGAGCCGTTGCTCAGAAAAGGCCGCCTGTTTATTCGCCTATTGTGTAACAGCGGCTGTACTCATTGTTTGTTTCAAGGTATTTTTTCCCCAGCAACTGGTCTATACGCCAGAATATTTCTAAATATGTGGGGCTGTGTATATCCCCTCATAAAAACTAAAGGAACGCAGAGAATATTTTGAATTTACAAAATGTTCTACACTCAGAACTACTGTAAAAAGAAAATATAAATCTCCCTGGATTTCCCCATACTCAATTATGAAGACGTCATGAGGACGTATGGAGGAAATGGTCGTATATCTCCACGCATTCCTGACCTAGCCACTGATGGAGGTGAATGGTCAGTTTCGCGCCCCAGCCGCCTTACCTTAACACTGAGGAAGTGGCCTTCGTTAAAGTTATCCCTGTACTTACTTTATTACGCACCAGTATAATTACGTATGTTGGCGTGGAGATATTGTGGTTTAATCACTTTAATAAGATTTGACGAGGAGTAGAAATTATGCAGTTCTCTCCAGCATCCTGTTACTTCACACCCCTTAGATCCAAACATTCTTCTCAGCTCCATTTTCACAAGCACCCTCAGTATATGTTCGTGTCTTAATGAGAGAGACCAAGATCCACACCAACACAAAGCTACAGGCATATTTATAATTTACGTTTCTAAGCAGCAGACGGAAAGACAGAACAGTATGAACTCCATGAATTTACTCTTCTCGCAATTGAAGTTTCTATGTTTCTAACTTCAGAACGTTTAGAAACCTTAAGTTTCCTCTTGTACTAACTTGAAAACCGTTTAAAGCTTTCGAATTATAAATTGGGCTGAAACATTGCGGAAAAAGGAAACAGAATTTTAAAACGAAAGTAAATAAGTTAGGGAAAGAGAGGCGGTTGGGAGAGTGCAGGACAACGGGACTTCAATTGTGTGCATTATAAACCTGCAGCAACGAACAGAGGGTGGAGGGACAAGGGGATTTGTAGTTTAAATTGAAGAAAAGAAAACGCGTTGATTAGCGTTGTGGCCTTATAAATGGCCGGAAATTTCTTGAGCGGCTGAGAGAATATCGGCTTTGAAAGAAGTATTATGTTTCATTCTGTTGACTCGGGGTGGCTCACAAGTTTCAATTGCCCCAATCATTCAGACCACTGCTGGGTCCAATGTCCTCCCTCCATGTCGCCAGGCCCCTTCAGAGAGCCCTATTCTCAATGCAGGAGTTAAAATCTTTTTGATTCAGGAACCCTTTATATGTGTAGGTAAAAGTTAAATTTGTCCTTATGAAGACGTATAGAGGAGTGGAGGCATAGCTCCATCATTCTTGACTTCAGCACTAGCCGGATGTTAGTGATCAGCTTCACGCTCCGGTCGCTTTACTTCTAGGGAAAGAGCCCCCGGTAGCCATCAAATAGGAGGCCGGGTGGACCCCACTGCCTGTCTTGACGCTATGGAGAAAACTAGAACCCTTGCTCCTGCCTGGAATCGAAACTAGGCCGTTTAGCCCTTAGCCCA